GTCGTACGCCCGAGTCTAGAGTTTGGAAACGTTGTGTGGTCACTGAGATTTGAAAAGGACAGAAATTTAATAGAGAATGTTCAAAGACGTGCAACAAGGATAATTCCAGGCTTGAAGGGCAAGTCCTATGAAGAAATATTGAAGATTATGAAGCTTCCAAGCCTCAGTTATCGACGTCTGCGTGGGGACCTCATTGAATGATTGAAGTATACAAGTATACTCATGGTCTATACAAGGTCCCTGAAGGGTTACTAGAATTTGAAACGAGAACCAACACCAGGGGCCACGGCTGTAAGCTAAAAAAATTGCGCTGCAACTTCTCCATGCAACAAAATTTCTTCTCGCTTCGAATCACCAACATGTGGAACAGCCTCCCCGATGACATTGTTGGCGCTCCAGCCTCCAAGTATGAATGCGTTCAAGAACAGACTAGATAAAGCTATGGAAAAATATATGTTCAGATTTGAAATGCCTAGCTCCTTATCGAACCCGGTGGAAGTCTAGTAGCTTCTTCAAACTATCGCCAGTCATGAAAAGATCCGGTCAAATGACACGAGTTTAGATCTATGAACAAGGCACAAAATGGAAAAGAATCAGCGACAGGCCACATCAGTACTGGCTAGTGGGGCATTACCGGCTGGGCAGCTCAGCAGCTAGAGCTGAGAGCCTGAGGGACCGTCTGGCACGGTCTGGGATAGACCTTGGACTTTGGAGATGGAGGCTGGACTGCTGGAGCGTGATTAGAAGTTTTTATTTGTAAAGCTGAAGCATCATAAAAATTATTATAGAATCTTGAAATTCTCTATGACTCAGACGACAGACAGTTGGTGATTTTATTTCTTTAATCATAATGCAAGGAAATGCAAATTTTACATTCTAAATTATTTTCTAATCATTCTTACATCATTCTTTGTCAATCATTGATAGTTTAATTAGATGTTATTGGGTTAAGTGTCATATGTAAAATGTTAAGTAAGTGTCAAATGTCAATGACAGTTATGACACTACCTTCCATACACAGGATGGTGCCGTTTTCCGCGGATTAATCTGGCGTAAACGAGGCTCCAAGCCCTTCTACTGGCGTACAACGCGGCGTACAAAGAGCTAAAATAACGTTATTGGCGCACACGCCCGGCGTACGTCCGCATCTGGCTTGTCTCAACGTACGTCTGCATCTGGGTGATCTGGCTTGTCCCGACGTACCGTACGTCTGCATCTGGCTTGTCCCGATGTACTGTATGTCCGCATCTGGCTTGTCTTGGCGTACATCCGCATCTGGGTGATCTGGCTTGTCCCAACATACATCCTCATCTGGTTTTGAGCAATTTAGTGCGTACTAATGCGTTTTAAGGCGATTTAGGGCCTTCTAATGCGATCTAGTGCCTTCTATTACGATCTAGTGCGTTCTATTACGATCTAGTGCCTTCTAATGCGATCTAGTTCGTTCTATTACGATCTAGTGCGTTCTATTACGATCTAGTGCCTTCTAATGCAATCTATTACAATCTAGTGCGTTCTATTACAAACTTTATTATATTATTAACAACATGGCACATTATAACAACATAACACATCATAACATAGCACAGTATAACAACACACCATATTATAACAACATAACACATCACATCAGTATTGATCAGTGGGCATCGGCTAAAACGATCGTAAATCGCTTGCGCTTGTGTCGATCATTAGGCATCTTCCACTTTGATCGCAAAGATCGCGCATCAGTATTGATCATTGGGCATCGGCTAAAACGATCGTAAATTGCGTGCGCTTGTGTGTTGTGTCGATCATTAGACATTGGCCACTTTGATCACAAAGAGCGCGCATCAGTGTTGATCATTGGGCATCAGCTATATAGATTGTAAAGCACGTGTGTTTGTGACGATCGCCAGGCATCAATCGTAAAGTACGTGTGCCTGTGTCGATCATGCAGCATTGGCGAGGGTTACACTTCCGTTTTTAGCAAGCATATTGGCAACTTTCTTCCCTGGCGTACTAGCGTACATCCGAAAACAAACCTCCGGTGTACACGCTGTACCTTCCTGACCATGGATGACACAATGACAGTCAAATGTCAATCAGTGCCCACTGCCCAGTGCCAAGTGGGCTGGCAGTGGCCAGGGCCCAGGCTGCCAGTGGCTTAGCTTGCACTGCGCAGCGACCGCAGTCTGTCGTGAGTCTGACAGTCAGGACATGGACTCATGATGTCCCGACAGAGCGACTGTCCCGTGAAAGTGTGAATCTAACCATTTTCACTAGTTCCTTTAAATTTCTTTCAATTCTTTGAAGGTCTTTTTTAAAATTCATTGCTGATTGCTGAACATGAATCATGATGAATGAAGCAGCCTACTTTTTTACTTTATTTCCCATAAGTTTTGAAAAATCACCAGTGAATTTGAGTGAAATAATGGTTTTATCCTGTCATTTTAAGAAACTTCAGCCTGATATTCTAAGTATGAAAATGGATATTCATGACTAAAAAAATTACTTTTAATTATGGAATAAAAATTCAGAAATTCAATGCTCAAAAAAATCTAGGGCTCATGGGCATGGCCAGTATTATCCAGTAAGCTGGTAGAATATTACTTTTACAAATGCTTAGAGATAATTTATTGCTCACATATTCTGAAATCTGGAAAGCTATAATTTAATACATAAACATTTTAGGAAATCTGGTAATACCATGGAAAATTTCTCTATGGAAATTTATATTGCTACTTAATTCTGCCTCTCAGGACTCAGATATTTGCTTCAGAGTTTAGACAGTTTCTTACATAGTAATTTCTTGAAATTAACTCTTCAATTCATAATATACCTCCTTTTTAGTTTTTAGATTGTCTGCTGTCCTGCAAGAAGTTTTCTGCAAGTGCCATAGTGTGTCAAGTTGTTGGCAGAGTCAAAACAAAGTATCCTTTTTGCTTATGCTTTTTTTACATTCCCCTACTAGTTTCTTTGAGTTTGAATGGTAAGATTTCCTGCTGTTTGTTGCATATCTTGCATTGTACATTTTAGATGACATAACTTTAGAATATTTGATTTAATCAATTGTAGCTTCAAGTATAACATGAAATTGCCATGTTATATCTTCAACTTAATTAGATTTTTAAGGGCAATGTGCTCAAATTCAAATAGATATTGATCTGCCTTCAAATTTAAAAATGTTATAATTTGCAATAAAGACTGTTCAAAGGTTTCTCTTTGACATAATCAGAATCATTGGTATTGTTATCCTTCACTATATTGCATCAGCTTGTCAGAATGGCTGATCCTCGGTTGAAGTCACTCCGCATCAAGACTGGGGTCCTCAAAAGGACCTACAAGGAAACCATCAGCTATCAGAACGAGGCTGCCAAAATTCAGGAAAAGATAAAGAAAATGCAGGAGGATGGTGTGTTAGTCTTGTGGTCAAGCATGTGGAGACGGGGTGTCCTTAGTCTTGCACCTGTGTGGTCAGGCTTACTGATCCTGTTTGTGTAGTTTGTTTTTCTAAAAAGTCTTTCATGTAAATTGGGATAAAAATATTAATTGGATTAAAACTTGATTAAGATATGATTGAATTAGCCTGAGATGCAAAGCATTACTTGATAATTAAGGGTTGTCTAAATTGGTTAGTTGAAATTCTTCATAGCTGCCTAGAAATCTTGGTGCATCTATTTAATTTATTTCTATCAATCTTTAAATCCTATATATAATATTAATTACAAAAAATTAATAAGTTATGTCCTGCAAGTTTACAAATCAATTATTCAAGATACTACCATTGTAATAGTACATTATGGTGCCAACCAAATACAATAGGGTGTTTATCAATAATTCTTGGATATAGGAAACAGCTGGCTTTGATGTTTGATGACCTGAAGCAGGTACTGCTTTTATTCCTCTTGGTTAGTCAACTTAGAGTTGAAGTGTTCGTTGTCAACAAAATACCACATTCAGCAGCATAATTGACAATTTTCAGCTTCTGCACTTCTTGAAAACTGATGCAGTACTGTTCAATGCTGTTTCAGGTGTCATGCTCCTGTTGTAGCTTGACAACTGATGCAGTAATGTTCAATGCTGTTTCAGGTGTCATGCTCCTGTTGCAGCTTGACAACTGATGCAGTAATGTTCAATGCTGTTTCAGGTGTCAGGCTCCTGTTGTAGCTTGACAACTGATGCAGTAATGTTCAATGCTGTTCCAGGTGTCAGGCTCCTGTTGTAGCAGTTTCAATTTGCATTGCCTCTACAATGTTGTGTTAGTTAAGACAAAGTTTTACAGAGTAAACTCAGACACAGCTCTTTTATCCAGTAATCCAACTCTGATTGCAAGAGGGTTTTCACCTGAGATAGGTACTTTCAGATGTGCCTCCAATCAGCCTGGTGCCAGCCACAAGTGTGTGTGATACTGGTGGCACTACCTAGTAGATGGAATTTAATTCTGGCTAATGCAGCTATCCTTAGTCACCAGTGTGAAATAAAAATGGGATCAGTTAATAAATGTTCAAACTGGCACAAAGGCATCTATGGTGTTTTTTTTCAAGTTACCATAGTTGTTGATATAATGGTATTCCACAATATATTACACTGGTTATCTTGTTATTTTACATGAAATAAGAAATATGATGTTTCTTTTGTTCCTGTAACACACATTATGATAAAGATAGAAGCAAAGCATTGTAACCTCACCTGCTGTCATTTGGAGGTCTGTACTGCACATTGTAATGGTATAATTTCTGGTTAAATAAATAGTCTAGTAGGAAATAAACTTTAACACAGCATTGCCAGCAAAAAATATCTATGTAATTCAACTGTTAATTTACTGTAAATAAGTAAAATTTTACACTTGTGCATCATTCAACATAGAAATCAAATACTGTCACAAAAAATATCAGCTGGCCATTATTAACAGAAAAATGAAGTTATTGTGCAATCAGTAAATATTGAAATATCTCATTCAACATTTTTTGCCTTTATTTTCAGGTCAAAAGGAACACTTTTAGCAGCTGAGAGTACGGAAATGCTGAATTTTATTTGCCACCATAATTTGTTTGGCACCCTATAATACGTGATACCTAATGTAAGAGTCACATTATACTATGTCTTCTGTCTTACATTGTTTTATGTTTTGCAGGAGAAGATGTTTTCTACGTCAAGAAGCAGGATGGACTCCTGCAAGAGACGCAGTCTGTCATTGTAGACTGTCAGAGGCGCCTAAACATCGCATATGCTGACGTCTCCAAGCTTGTGCAGGATGAGGTGAGTCACTAGAATAGAGTGCATTTATAGGCATGTTCATTTATATTTCTTAGTAATTTATTTACATGATTTATTTAGTCATTAATATTACTTTTTTATTTATTGTATGAATATTGTATTTTGCCATTTAATGCTAATTTTACAGTATACAGTGTATCCTTCTAGCTATACATTTGCAACAATATTGGCAATTATTATCCTTGAGGTATTCTGATGACCACATTTATGTCACCATCCAAACACACCTTAATCACAAAGGCATCACTCATACACTGCCATCACTGTAACATTGCTCTTACACTCCCAGCATAATGTGACTAACGAATGCTCTCATCATAATATGGTCATCACACATTCATGATTCCATTATCACACTTTCATAATGATGTCACTATCACACTGTCATAATCACGTCACTAATTCGTCCCCATATGTGCAGACTGAACTAGAGGAGGCAGAGGAGTACATAGCAGCCAAGGCTGCACTGGAGGAGGCTAAGGCTCTCGCCACAGCCTAGTCTCTCAAAGCTCTACTCTAATTTCTTATATTTAATTGCAGCAACACTTATGATATTCAATGTAGTATAATAATTTTGTTCCTTGCCTTTTTCTTTTCTCACTCTTGATAAATTTCCACTTTCTGAAACGTTTTACTCAATTATGTTACTTTTCAAACTTTACAGTTACAAACTTCTAAGTAAGAATGAATAATTAATAAATATAACTAGTAAATTAATGTAATTACAATCATATTGTGCCCTGTTCCTAGTGCCTTTCATGACAACACACATTCTGTATTTATACTGGAGACGTGCTGCATTCCGTGGGAATCCTAATTTAATTCAACAATCTACTTTTTTAAGATTTTTGTGCATTGCTGAGGGTGAAATTCTGGTCTCACTTCACTTATACGTTCAAATTTGTTGTCACTGTTGTGTTGTTTGGCTGGCATCGTTTAGTCTATATTATCTGACCCATCATCAACTACCACACAGCTGTCTCTGATCTGTGGAGAAAGTCGATATCAAAATTACTCACCGTCTCAAGCAAAGTGATACTTTGTTCTTATTAAGATTGTCAATCACGCATAAGCACAGTCATTCGGTGATCTTAGTTAAATGTGTGACGTGTTATTACTCATCATAATTTAGTTGAGTGCCATGTTCTAATCTTGTTAGTTTTGCTTTAGACTATTCTAGTACACTCAAATTTAGCTCCTATATACTCCAATGAGTGCACTTACTTATATCCACATCTCAAGAGTTTTAACCCAGATATCGAAAATGTTTCATGTTCATGGGACCAGAAAATAGTTCTATTGTTTGCGGTAACTGTGACTCGCCCTCTTGTACAACTGTGACGGCATAGCTGTTACTCGCCCTGTTGTATAAAATGTCTCAGACGCCATGTGATGTCCCACCCCCGAATTTTCATACATCATTGCCGCCACCTGATGTGTGGCCCTGGCCTGCTAGCGCTAACGGTCCTCACGCGCCAGTATTACCGAGGCCGCCTCACGGACCACCTCTTGCAGCACAACTCGGCAATCCTCCCCATCGAATGAGACCTCCTCACAGCCTGCAAGTGCCGCCTCGTCCTTATTTTGCTAATGGATCCAACCCTGGAGTTCGTTTTCCTCCACCTGACCTGCAAGCCTCTTTTCCATCTCTCAGACCTCCATTGAATGCAGCCTCATTCGGGGACATGCGCGGGACTGCTCCTATGCCTGAGTTTTCACGGCCGCCTCCTCACAAATATTCACTGTTTATCCCACCAAACAGTGCGGCTCAGTGGGCTCGCTTTCCACCTCCACCTCATGAGGCAAGAAAATTATACTCCCATCATCTTTCTCATATTCCAGCACAAGTTCGCTTTCCAACGACCGAAACTCCACCAATACCCTCTCTACAGATCACCGATCCATCAGTGCCCAATCCCAGAATCTCTGGTCCATCAAATCATGTGAAAAATTCATCATCTACTTCAGATAATTTTCTTCGTTCCTGGGCTCCCGTGATTGATCGTCCCCAAATCCCAGACTTCTCTGTTCCTCCTCCTGGCAGAGTTCTGCCTCCCAGCTCCTCAGTCTCGACACCTGCCAACAAACAAGCTCATCAGTTGCCGACTGATACTGCGCCTCTCATCAATATGTCGAATTTCAAGCCTCCAAGTTACTCTTTCCCCCCGCCTCAACTCGAACCCACTGAATTGATCTCGTATTCTATGCCGCCGCCGCTGTCTGGTCAGAAGGTTATCTTGAAAGAAGGAAAAAACAGCTTACCTGGATCTCATCAACCTAACTGTGGTAGGAAGATTGCTGGTGGGTTTGCTAGGAGTAGTCAAAGAGCTTCTGCACTAAACCTGATAACCGAAAGCTTTTCTGAGACGAGGAATGTATCGTTGAATCAAACTACATCTGTTTCATCATCGACCCTTAATGAGGTACAGTGGCACCCGTGGAACAGGAGTTGGGTGAGCAGCGTCAAGACTCAGAAGCTCGTTGACGAGTGGCTGGCGCAGAAGTTGGAAAGCAGAAGCCGCACAAGGAGACAGCATGCAACCCCTGCGGGAGATTTACGGCCCAACACAAGCCACGTTAGGTGTGATGAGCAACCGCCGTGCGGTAATTCAACCAGTAATGCAGATGACGAATCGTCAGCTAATGTCAATCTCTCGGACAAAGAATTGGCTCATAAAAGACTCGTAGCTGATGTAATCCCGCTTGTGAAGAAGGATCTAAAAGAATTAAGAGTGGGTAGTTGTTAATCTTATCTTCTGACTTCGACAATGTTTTTTGTGAAATTTGAATATTTATTGAGATATGAACACTGGTGTATTCGTCTAATTTATTTGTTACTTACCTACTGAGTGCAGAACTCGCTATCGCATAGTTCGTGCAGTTCAGCCTTGTGCGTATATATTAACTCGCCTAACATGGTCGACAGATTTGTGATGTTCACCTCATCGTTGCCGCCTTCAAGCTTCTCATGGAGGAGCTTCGCAGCTGCATCAACAGCCGCACAATTTTTAAGAAGAAGGTATGTAATTCGGCGATCCCTGAAATGAAGGAGAGTTAAACACGTCTGTTTGCCAAGTGTCATGTAATAATGGTGGTTACGATTTATATCGTGCTATCTACTATGACCTGACATAGTGTGATCTTATTTAATACTTATAAACGGAAATGATGCATTGATTAATTGAATAATTAGCCTAAGTAAAAAACTACATTAATAAGCCATCAGACATAAATCAAGCTAATGGCCGGGATGACAACGTCACCCTGGATATGGGGCTGTAGCAGAAATTATTCGAGGCAAGGTCGCCACATCACGCCCACATTTAATATAATGACCACGAACATATAATCAGCATGTCTGATTGTCCCGTATTAAATTAATGCATATTGAACTCATACCTAAACTTATGCCTCGCCATAATATGAAGTTCTGCAAATTTCATATGACGTATCGTAGCAAATCCAATCCACGTTCATATCGGCCATATAAGCTTAAGCAGCCTTACTTTTGTGTTAAACCTACAGATAGCTTGCGCGATATCTTCTCTTACTATTGGTAGAAACGGTCTAAGAATTCAAAAACAAAGAAAGTAGCAATAAATTCACCCTCTTTATTTGAGAAATTAAATATAATGAAATAAACTATAAAGGAATATCTTCTATCATATAAGGAAATGGTGAATTTTTTGCTGTTTTTTTTTTTTGCTATAAGTTATTGGTGAATTTCCTATGTGAGCAATCAAGTTAATGTTGATGCGTATAAATTATAATAAATTGCAATATATGTTATAACAACCTCCCCAATGCTTCATTGTTCTGTTGTTGATGTTGCATTGCAGGAATTGCTGGATGACATTCGGAATCTGTTGTCGCAGTCCACGTTCCAGGTGAGATCTTGTAGCTTCTTGCTGATGTTCCTTATGCTCTAAACCTTCATTTAAGATATACTCGTGACTCTTACCATGGGTTAGAGAAGATTCTTTAGATCAGATACATTCTTGGTTTATAGTCTCGATTGTTTTATTATTTTTCAGTATTACTATATGCAGTTGGAGCAACCCGCTGCTGTGCCTGATCAATAGATTGTGCATCCTTTAGTTCAAATGAATGTCATCAAACTAACTTGTCAGTAAGTTTATAATGAGTGTCAGTTCGTCAACGTTGTCTATTTCGCTATTACCTCCTTGTCATTTTAATTTTTACTTTGAGCTTTCATTGCAATATTGTTTTTCTGGCTCTTCATTCCCCCTTGATTTGTTCTCATTACGCTGATGATGATATTTGTATTTTGCGTTTGGTTTGAATTCCTTGCTTTCTTTACACGCAATCATCTTCACAATTTAATTAACGCTGGCACAAACTTTATTTGGCTTAGCCAACGGAGGGATTAAGACGCGTTCAGATTTTATTCTTTAATCACACCTCAAAAACGCAGTGGATCTGAAAATAATGACGGTACTTACAATTAAATCAAAAACTACTGAATATGAAATGAACAATATATCAAATATGATCACAGTAGTAATGTCGCAATATGAAAGAACTTCTTAAATTGATAATGAAATAAATAACGTATGTGCTTGGCACTATATTGCTGAATCCTGAATGAAAAATTTTTCCACCGTTAAATTTCATTCCCTAATGCGCTCTAAGCATGAAAATTTTACTACACATTGAATCTGCGTGCTAAAAAATGACAAAATAAATAAACATAAGTATACACGTAACAGATGATAAGGATCAAGTAATATTTAAAGTAGTAAATTTGGAATACTGGAAAGGCCATCACACCAAAATATTAATTATCTTCAGAAAATTATCATCATAATTAAATTTATTGAGAGAATTATTGTCACAAATTGATCATCTTGAGAGGATTACCTTCTGAATTTATTAATCTTGAAAGAATTATCACTGAATGTAGTATTAATGTTGAGTGCATTATCTTCTGAATTTATTAATCTTGAAAGAATTATCTTCTGAATTTATTAATCTTGAAAGAATTATCACTGAACTTAATAATGTTGAGTGGATTATGTTGGCAGGCGACGGTACGGCGACTCGTGCGCGCGCGCAGCAAGAAGCGCGGGCGTCACAAGCGCCGCCGCGCGCTGCGCAGACAAGAGTGCGCCAGCAGGAGTCGTCAAATCGACGCTCACTGGCAGAAAATCCGGGCACTCGAACAGAAACGCCTACAAGTAATATGATCTTTGATCCCATGTACTTTTTTGTTGTATTGTTCGACACGCTGCGACCCACTAACTCCTGCAAAGATCCATGTAAACTTAATTATTCGTTCTCGTCGAGGTCATATTTAATGGAAGAGAGTTTTGTAGTCTCTGTATATTGTATTTATTATGCCTTATGAGTTGCAGATTTTATCTTCATTTCTCATCTAGTGAAGTCTGATTCCGTCGCAATTACTTTAAATTGGCTCATTACCAGTCACGAGCAACTAATCTTTGTATCATGTATGGAGAGATATCTCCCATTAGTTATTTTCATGCTGTGAGCGTCCTTTGGGTGCAACGTAGCTCAATATAATGTATTCTAGATGAGATCTCTCATCAAAATGCTTTATATGACGCAATGTATGAGATCTCCCATAGAATATTGCGATGTTGTTAACGTCTCTGGGGTGCTGCAGGAGACCAAGCTGCGCGCTGAGGTTGACTGCGTCCTCAAGGAGGTGCGCGGCAAGCAGACGGACGCCGCGGCGCTGCAGTCGCTGCTGTGGACGCTCAGAGACCTCAGGCAGCACCGCCTCAACAGGGGCGAGCAGCAGGGATATGTGTCCTCCCAGGAGGCCGATGAGGCCTTCGCTAGGGTCGTAGGTATGTGGTAGGGACGATCGCTAGGGTCGTAGGTATGTGGTGTGGGTGAAGGTGCGATACCAGAGCACCAAAAGAGCTGTCGCACTCTATGCATATCTTATTTGTATAAACTGTGGGTGGGTGTCAGTGGGCATGGGAGATTTCTACAGGTGCATAATGCCCATGGAATCGGAATGCCATGATATTGAACTTATGTGTGCAAATATTGTGAAGTGCGGGACATACCGTACATGAAGCGTAAGTCAAGCACTGATGAGGATGTGGTATGAATGTTCGCTTCTTGTGTCTTTGAATGGCCTGACAATATTCAGCAAATTTGGTTGAACAATTTCTGGATACGAATTTCTGATGCTATGTTGGAATGTAGAGACATAACGAGCTGAAGTTTAATAAAGAAGATTTAACTGTAAAATATGGTTTTCTGTCCTAATTTTTGCACTAGCGTTTTCAGATCAAAATCTTTCCATGGATCTCATTACCGACAACGTTGAGTAGAATTTTATTTTAATCAATTCGTGACTATCTAAATTTCGGAATTCTTTTAGGCAGTTTGCAACGACGAGCGATTAAATATTTAGTTGCACAATATTAATAATATTAAGCTGTTCGTTTCATTTACTGACACATTTAACTTTGAAGCTCGTACGCCGAGGCTTGACGTGGTTTACCGTAATTCCATGTGCGCCAGTGATGATTACGAATCTTGTATTTTAAATGTTTTAATTCTACTTATAGTCTTCTACTGTGTAATTTGTTGGTGACGGCAGACGGTCTGGACGAGATGATAGACGGACAGCTTGCAGACTACGCCCTGGAGGAGCGAACTCTGCAGGCCATGCTGCAGAGCAACCGCCCTCCTGCTCAGCAGGAGCCACCGCCTGCAGAGGAGGTCAGAGCTTCTGGTCAACGTAATTTCGCTGTGTTTAACATTTATGTCTCAGTTATGTACAAGTAACCTGGCATTTTCGTCATGAAAAAGAATCCGCTGCCGGGTTTTTATTTTCCCGTTTTTTCCGTAGTATATTCAATATCTCTGTACAGTTTTTTTACTTATGCAGTATACGTCTAGGTACTTTGTACATAGAACTTGGACTCTTAGGATAGGTCCGGAGCCGATGAGCTTAATAAAATTCAGTCAGTAACCCGGACTCGTCCTAGATTGTTCAGCAATTTAGTACGTTAATATTTATTTAATAGTCACCGTTTGATTATGTTCTTTATTGCTTATAATTTAGATTATCGTCAACTTTGTATTAAATTATTTTCAAAAACTGTTAGTCATCCACGATTTTTCATTCACAAATATCCCTGGAATAAAGAGCCATAAAACTTCATTACAGTTAAGATCATGGATAATTCATGACAAATGCTTGAATTGAAATAATTGTATACTAATACGCCTCTGTGCCAGCAGCCTCAGGAGCCAGGCGTGGCTAAGGCGACTGTCAAGGAGCTGCTGTTCGGCGCCCGAGCTGCTGGCGACGCCGCGGCGCTCGCCTCCTACTGCGCCGCCGACCGCAGCGTCGAGATGCTCGTAGCAAGAAGGTATGCCCACCTAGCCCTAGAGGTATGCCCACCTAGCCCTAGAGGTATGCCCACCTAGCCCTAGAGGTACCTATGCCCACCTAGCCCTAGAGGTGTTATGCCCACCTAGCCCTAGAGGTGTTATGCCCACCTAGCCCTAGAGGTGTTATGCCCACCTAGCCCTAGAGGTGTTATGCCCACCTAGCCCTGGAGGTGTTATGCCCACCTAGCCCTAGAGGTGTTATGCCCACCTAGCCCTAGAGGTGTTATGCCCACCTAGCCCTGCAGCCCGTGAATTAGATTAATAGTTAATTTATATCATGATGATCTCAGCGGTATTTTTTTGGCGAAAATTGGTCATTGTTTTGAATTTGTAATGGATTTTTACGAATACATTTTTTAAATTTGGGAATTGATGTCATAGCCTGTGCGCTAATTTCTGGGAAACGTGTCTTTCACTTTAGGCAAATTATTATTAAACATGAGAACTCCTTCAAGTATACATTCCCAAGAGTGGGGAATTTACACGCAACCTGTACAATTATTTTATAATGCGTCTCATAAGTGTTATTTTTACTTTTACTCCCTGGCATTTTATCGACATTTCAATCGAAATTTTATCTCACCGCCAGGCGCGCCTGGGATAAATACATCGTCAGCAACCGTGGGCCCCCACAAGACTCCAGGACAGCAGCCTCAGGCGTCCCCCTGACTTGGGTGCTACCCCCCGACAACCCCTCGATCCCCTGGCGGCAGTACCTTGTTTCTTCATGATATTAATTGCAAAATATTCGAAAACATCGCGAGATATAGAGGAAAATTTCTCCACGGACATGCAATTTATAGATGATAATCGGGAACTCGAAGAACATTGTTTTCGCTGCAAAGGCTTTAGTCCTCGTAGGCTGTGATCGACCAAATTCGTGGAGGAACCTGACGTTGTGGGTCAGATTGACCCAGTTAGGTGGCGTGACGCGGCCGCCTTTTGTCGTGCATTTGTGGACAAGGCATACTTCTGGGTACAAATAAATTTACATTGTTATGAGTATGGCATGAATTAGATGTCTTGCTCATTAACTGGACTTACCATTACATAGTATACCTTGATGATGATGATGTAATGTTTCATCATTTGTTATTAGCGGGACTTTTATGGTTCGTTCAAGAAATCTGAGTATTTCCTGCATCTGAACGAAAATGACAACTTAATTAATTTTGAACACCGCGTTTGAAGTTGCCACATGTGTTTTTTACGAATCATCAGTTGAATTAGAAGTAGCAATTGACTCGTTCCATAGGAAGACCACCTGTAGTGTATGGTAAATTGGTAGGAGCTGGTACCGTACCGAGTGTCACCGCGAAGCGCAAATTATTCTTTGAAAACTATAGTAATGATAACCTCTTCAGAGTTTTTTCTATTTCCCAACGTTTGTAGAATAAACCTTAAGATGATTTGTAATTTCCGCATTTTATTATTCCAAGATTGTTTATGGTTATGGATGACAACACTTTGGTGGGCAAACAAGCACTCAATAATTCGAATGTAACACAAACTTCCATGCACTGATTGGAGTGTAACACCAACTGTAACAAATTTGATTGTAACTCGAACCAAAACGCACTAATAAATACTCAGTCTGATGAAGATTTTATTCCCTTCCACGCACGCCGTTTTATGTCGTACGTTGCTAGTCTAGTTTTGTTCGTTCTGAATCACTCAGCTCAGTCAGCTGTTTCCAGTATTGCAAGCGAATTGCTGTACTGAAGTTCTTACTTTTTGTATGCTCTTGCATCTTTTGTAAGCAGGCGTTGTAGAAGTTCGTATTTTATGCAAGGCTCTCGTTTCGTCCAACTTTCTGACAGTTGACATTGACAGTTTATTTATACGATTTAAGAGACCGTCTGTCGTTTTTCGTTTATTTTCGTAAATGCGGAGCCTAATTTTGTTGCCCAATTCATTGTTTTTGTAGCCATAATTCGGATATCTAGCAGCCTCGGATATCTAGCATTGGGAGGGTGGGAGGAATTGAGCTGTGACTCTTTTGAGCGTGACGATCTCGACATGTCCAATATTCATCATGCAATAAATAATGTAATAAACACACCCCGACTACCACCTAATCCAGCCAGCCCCCTAACGCCGATGACAGAACAATTATTTGAAGATCTCTTAATCTATAAGATGTAGTTTTTTTTCGCTGTAGCTCTTCTCCAGCAACGTCAGCGGTTTTTTTGCACTCTCATTTAATTTACACTGGGCGAATATTCGCAGCAATTTTTTACACTTCAAATATTGTGCTGCTTTATTCTGCAGGTGCAAGTAGCTAATTCCATTGCGTCTGAAGCAGTTCAGGTTGTTAATGTGCAGTGAAGTGACAGCAGTGTGGCTGCAGCGGCCGTAGTATGTCTTGTGCTGCTCTGTATTCTGTTAGGGCAGGTGCATCTAATGTTATGAATTGTTCAGATGATATTGAACTGTTATTGATATTCCAAAAGTACGATATACTCTGGAAAGTACGTCACGATGAATATTGCTACAAAAAATAGTTGAGAAGGTAGTGTTTTGAAAGTTAACGAGACGTTATTAGGTCTCTCGCCCACACTCTACGCTGATAAAAAAGGTTTTCACTTCCTCAGTTACAGTTATAATAATGATACCAACTGCTTAATCAAACGCATCCTCAAACTCGTCATTTACAGACCTTGCTCGACGGCTTCTAACGACGCACTAGCACATGCGAATGGGAAAATACTGTTGAACAAATAATTTCCTCGTATACACATAAGCACCTTCACTAATTCCGGACCTCATTCGTCAACGTTATACGGGAGGAGGTAGTAGACTGGAAGTGCGCCTGTTTGGCGCTCACCGCTTGCCTGGAATTCATTTATGTAGACAGTGAAAGATCACGTCGAGATAAATACCGCGCGTGTGAAAGTACAATCTGAACGCCGAATGATTTGTTCGAAACGCCGACCGGCTTGGATGCTCATGTTCGCCACCATTACCAAACGCATCGGGAGCTATTCGTAATTGTTGCAAGTGTTACGATCATTCTACAGTATTGCTGAAAATGCTACTAGACGAGCAACATAAATCGATAAAAATGCCAAGATCCATCCCATTTTCAAAGAACAAGGAAAATTTTCAGTGAAAGTATCGTAGAATTTGTTTAAATTGCAGTTCTTTTAAAGCTTTTTAAACGTTGAACTATTAAATTGAAGTTACTAATTGAAGGCGTAGAAAGCATGACATAGTAATTAGTAATGTTGAAGGCATAGAAGTGAAGTGTCATCTTCGGTGCGGGCGCAGCGTGTGGGTGCGGGTGGATGCTACTTCATCTCGCCGCGGGTGGGTTCCCACTTCATCCCGCCCTCGAGTGGGTGCCCACTTCATCACGCCGCCCACTTCATCTCGCCGCGAGTGGGTTCCCACTTCATCCCGCCCTCGAGTGGGTGCCCACTTCATCCCGCCGCCCACTTCATCTCGCCGCGGGTGGGTGCTCACTTCATCCCGCCCCCGAGTGGGTGCCCACTTCATCCCGCCGCCCACTTCATCTCGCAGAAAGTCATGTTGTAATCACCGGAGCTCAGGTCGCAGTATGCAGATGCGGTGCTAAATTACCGCCGCTGCTCGGCACGATTTATTGCTTTGCTTCAGACGACGCCTCGTCTCGTGTATCCTTGATACGCATCGCCAGCGTTGGCGTTGACTTACTGACTTCATATATTTCATTAGCTTAATATCTTTCTAAATTAACAGTAGTGTCGCACCCCATGGAAATAAAGTATTTAGGGTCAAGTACGCTGCTTTTTTTTAGGCACGGAATTGATTTCTTTAATACCAGTCCGTGCTGAGTCTCTGACCTTCTCGATTCTCACTCTGCCACTCGCGGTGGCAGAGTGAGATCAAATGGTCTAGGTTTTTTCACATTTTTTTTCACAAGATCTATGTTTTTTCACATTTTTTTCATCACATTCGTATCGCAAGATCTAGTTTTTTCTCCAATTTATACATGTTTAATTTACTTTTGATCATTGCACAAATGTTCTGTATGAATGATACATTCATATGCTATCATAGTTTCAGAAGGTATATTCCGTATATAGTATATATATACTGCATGAAAGACAGTATATAAATGTAAATAAGATTGTACAAGCGAGTTGGGGTTTTAAATCTGCTACTAATTGTAGAAATGCTATTCGACATCGGCAAGGTGACCGGGTTGTTAATAATTGGCTAGAGACCAATATGGCCTGACACCACTGCTTTCACTATTATTATAAACTCTGGTTAGTGGGCCTAATCCATGCACGCAAGATAGGCCTTTATTTGTATTATTATTCAGAGCAGCCGTTGGCCGAAGTTGGAGGCGCTACCACATGCAGAAATGCTGGAGCTGCCATCCGCATAGTCAAACAAGTATGTTTTGTCAGTGATGCCATCAGGCGCTTATAATCGCTAGCACAAAAACAACAACTCGACAAGTGAACATTTTTCTGTTCGAGGTTCCAATGAGTATTATATCTGTAATAATCTAACAATGCATGATATTATTATGGAAGAACTGACTCCAATGATAATCAGAACCATTAAGTGTAATCCACCTTGGCAAGAATAATGAAAAGCAAGATTACAGTATGAGAAGACACGGTTGCAACGACAGAGTGATGATGTCGAAGTCGACAATGGAAAAATATTTAGGAGCTAATATCGACAATGAGTTGAAATTTTCTAAGCATATTGAAGGTTAAGTTAATAAAGCCAATAAACGACTTGGACTGATCAGACGCTCTTTCGAGTTCCTAGATGCAGAAACGATGAAGCAGTTGTTTGTTGCTGTCGTGCGCCCGAACCTAGAGTTTGGAAACGTCGTGTGGTCACCGAAACTTGAAAAGGACAAAAATTTAATAGAGATTGTTCAAAGACGTGCAACAAGGATAATTCTGGAGAAAGTCAGTTGCGTTTGCCGTGGTAGCACGTGTGTGAATTGCGATCTCTAAACGTCTAAAGTAACCGGTAAATTTGTGACTCAAAGTTTCTTATAAGTATTCAAAACCGTAATTATTTGATTTGTTTACTCATTAACTTTAACCCGACTGGCTTTCTCCCTCAGAGGTTTGCCGGTCCGCCTTGTTATTTTTATTTTTTTCTTTATTTTATTTTTATTTTGTTTATTTATTTTTTCTTTTCTTGCTCTTCTACTTTATTTAGTTTTTGTCTTGCTATTCCAGGCAATAAGTTCAGCAGCTATCTCAATCAATCGTCAGTTATGGAAAGATCGGGTTCCAAAGGCCGGATCCCTTGTGAATCAAGTCACGAAAAATTCAAGAATCGGCAACAGGCCATGGGCCTATTTCTTCAGTGCCGACACTTCTATTCTATTCTAAGTGTAGCTTCGCAAGCTTGCTGCAAACACCAACAACGTATGTATTAATATTCATGAATTGTAGTTAGGATAACATGTAAGTTATCATTTGACAAATCAGATCAGCAAGCCTCGCAATCTGTATCGGTTGGCCTTCCTTCGTATAATATTTCATCACTGCTGGTACTCAGTATTTAAATTTGTTTTTTTGACGAAGCAAATAATTACAAGAATATGGCTTTCATAATGTTAGAAATAATTTATGCAACGCAAGAATTTAAATTCTATAATTGAAAATCCTGTAAATTATTTGCAGAGATTGAAGCTGTTTCTTGTCCAATTCAGCTTTTTCTTAATTGAACGGGTGCCGAGTTCTTTCTGGCTACGTCCACATGCATGCTGCGGCCTCATGTCTTCTCTCTCAAGTTCCTAGTTTTCTTACAAGCAATAATGACTGTCTATTTTCGCTAGCTTTTTATTTTCTTTCGGCGTCGCGAATTTGGTGTCCGCTAACTGCGTCCGACAATTTCCCCCGTCCCCGTAAAACTGTCGCCCTGCGAGCGACTTGAAGCTTTGGCGAAAAGCGACCTTTTGTTTCGACAAGAAATATTGGCGCAAGAATAAAAATCTCAGTAGAATGCTGGAGGCCAAAGAATACTAAAGGCCGCAGAATTACGTGCCCTGCATGAATTCTGTCAGGCTATGTTATATGAAGGCGCTGTGTAGCGGGAGTTTTTTCTTTTCATTCCCTTAAATAGTTCACTTAAACTAATTACGTATTATTATTAGTGGATCTGATTACTTATTCAGAGAGAAAGTACATACTGCTGGATTATTTCAACATTAATTTGATTGATATCGTATCTTCAATTGAACGTACGGAAAGTTCTTTCGAGTCAATTGAATAAGAAAATTTGAGCTGTCCCCCGCAGTAGGTCTCATTAGGAAAATAATTTAATTCATTTCCATTCATTTCTTTTGAACTTCAAAATTTTGTTTTGCAATTACTTTTTCATGGTTCATACGCAACATCTTGTCTGCACGTTGCTCATACAGACATCAGCTTATTACTCCTCACAAGTTTTCGCATGATATTCCTTTATATATAGATGAACTTAATTAATAACTCGTTAACTAACATGCGAAGAGTGACTGCCTGGCGAGAATAGGAGATGAGCTTGGGGCTTGGAATGCTTCAATACATAAATTACACCAACAACGAAGGAAATATGAGTGAGATGCTACCTTCTATAGCAATTTTGTTTGTTG